GTTGCTGTGGAGATGGTAGCCCCGCCCCTGATGCAGTACCTGCCCCCCCATTGGCTGCAGTGGTGACTGGGGCTGAGGGGGGAGCCCAGGCCTGAGCAGCCATTCTGGAGCTGGAGCCGGAGCTTGGCATCCCCCACTTTCATTCTCCTCTAGCCCCTCGCCCCCCTAAATTCCCTGCTAGCAGAGCCCCAGCCTCCCTCCTCCGAGCTGCCACCTCTCTCAGACTCTTGGCAGTCCCAAGCTTCATCTGCAGTCACCTCCTCTCCTCCTCGTCTCCCTACCCTCACTTGGGAGTCCCCCAGCCCCCACTGCCCCTTTCCCCCGCTCCCTGGCATTCTTCTCTTCCCTTCCCTCCTTCCCCTCTGAGGCCCTGCCACTGCAGTGCACGTGGAACCAGCCCCTCCTCCCCTCCCCCTACCTGGCCCTTCCTTGAATTTTCTGTCCCCAGGATTCTCCCCTGGCCACTCCTCTCGGGTCTCTCCCAAGACTCCCCCCTCCAGTCCAGGGAGGGGGTCATGGGAGGCAGCCCAGGCCCTCCTGACCGACCGGGCTTCCAGCAGGAGGGGGGCAGGCGGGCGATGTACCCAGCCGAGGGAAGGGGAAAGCTTGCCTATGGGCAATGACCTTAGCCCAGCTTCCCCCCGCAGCTAGCCTCCTCCTGGGGGGGTGGGCACCAAGGACCTGTCTTCTGTGGAGCTGTGTCCTTTATTTTTGGGGTTTCACTGACCCTCTCAGCCATGCCCCTCGGCTGATTGCCAGCCCCAGTCATGGGCCTAAGGCCTCCCACTCCGTCCCCCTCGGGGGGCTCCGGGTCGGGTTCCTTGCCCCCTTCTTCCCGCCGCCAGCCTCTCCGCCGCCGCTGCTCTTCCTGCTGCTTCCCGGGGGGTAGGTGAGGCTGGAGCGAGGGGCCAGGGAGGTGGGTGAGCGCTGGGGCCAGGGGCGGAAGCCGGGCCGACAGTGACCCCTCCCCAGCTCCCCTCTGCCCTTTCCTTTCCCCCAGAGTACCACCTGGGTCGCTCGAGGAGGAAGAGTGTCCCCGGGGGGAAGCAGTACAGCATGGAGGCCGCCCCCGCTGCGCCCTTCCGGCCCTCGGTGAGTGAAGGTGCTGCCAAATGTGGCCGGCTGCCCATCCCCCCCGTCCCAGCTGGAGCCCAGGATTCTGAAAAGGGACCCAAGCGGGAGGGCTGGAGGAAAGAGACACTCCCCACCTCTTTGGTTCCCCCTTCTTGGCTCTGCCCCCCTGCTTCTCAGACCAGCCCTCCCACCTTCTGCAAGCTGGTGTGTGTTTGTGTATGCGCTCGAACCCGTGGGAGCCAAGGAAGACAGACCGGTGGCAGGGTTTTTCTCCCCTTTCCTCGCCCTAAAGACTCTCCGTCCTCCCCTTCCCACCTTCAGCTGAGGGCTGAGCAGGTGGAGCTGACCCTGCCCCTACCGCCCCATCCCCACTTCCCTCCCCCAGCAAGGCTTCCTGAGCCGGAGGCTAAAAAGCTCCATCAAACGCACGAAGTCCCAGCCCAAACTTGACCGGACCAGCAGCTTTCGCCAGATCCTGCCTCGCTTCCGAAGTGCTGACCATGACCGGTAGGGGCTGGAGCGGGAGGGCTGCCTTGATTGCCATATGGGGGGCTCTACAGTGAGATCCGAGGAATGGGCGTCCTCAGGTTGGCTGAGGGATGTTATGGGGTTAGGGACAGGGAGAGGTTGAGCCAAGG